GACCGATATGCGCGTCATTGCCTCGAGAGACGTGTCGGGGTCGATGAGCCCCTTTCGTATGTGGATAATATGGGCTCGTTTTGCTTGCCCTGGATACATAATGGATTGCCGGTGCAGGGGCCCTTTTCTGGTTTTGTCATCTTGTCGACGAAAGTACTGCGGACGAGTCAGAAATGTGTGTAGAGGTTGCACGGTCAGGGGAACATACAGTACGGGGTATCCGACGAAGAGGGCCAACAGGCCGAGTGCGAGAAAAGCGAGACCTCCAACGTTAACCATACCTCTCCTGGTGAAAATGTCGCAATCGCGCTGCTCCTTCTCGTTGGGGTCGGGGTTGTGCAGATAGTCGTCCTTTTCGACATCCTCAGGGAACAGTAGCAGGCCGGCCGAGGGTAGGATGTTGAACTTTTCCGATACGGTCTGGGTGTTGAGATCCTCTTCGCTGCCGGCCCGCGACGGGGCTCTCGAGTCGTCGAATGGCGAGGCAAAGGGGCCCCGTGAGTCGCCGGTCATGTCTGAGCTCCAGCTTGTCCGCCGTGACATGGCAGACGGTGACCGTTGCGGCGACTCATCGCGATAAGGGCGCGTCTTGAGCTTCCTGGGCGGCAGCAGCAGCTCAGCGGATGCGGCGATGTCTGCATTGCTGTACAAGCCGGGCGCTGTTGGCGAGACGAGTCCGGGACTTTGGGGGGCCGTGGTTGGCCGTATGGGCTGGGTCAAGGAGCGGGCGGAGGTTGTCCTTGCGGTGCTGGGTCGCACGGCAGGCGGCGAGTTATCGTCGGTGCGCGCCTCCTGTGTGCCAGAGTTGAGGCGGATATGGGGAGGGCCGCTGCCCCGGGGCGATTGCGGCATCAGGGACATGTTGGACAGGCGTGCAGGCGTGTGAGCGAGCGTATAGGGTGAGTGGCTAACAGATGGCGGCTCCTATGGGCAGGCCAGGGCAATGGTGCGATGGCGTGCGATGTGCAATGTGCAATGTTGGTAAACGAGTGTTGTGGTCGGGCTGCGGAACGCAATGGGGGAAGAAATCCTGCAAAGGGAGCGGCCTGCGGGTGCCCTGCAACGGTGACGGCGGCGGCGACGGGGCAACAAGGAGACTGGCTGTGCAGGCTGCGAATACAAACAAGTATCCTCCGGTAGCAGTACCTGTGAAAAAGCCGACGGGCAAAAGCTGCTTGGTATTGCTGCTGGTGTCGAGGACAGAAACGAGCGAGGGCGGCAGAGAAGAAGTGGTTCCACGTTCGTAGAGGACGCCTGCTTCGCTCCTGGGCCAAACGGGGGCGTTGCCAGGATAGGTAGTCTGACCAGGAACGCGCCAACAACCTTGAACACGCTTGGCGCACGCTGAAGCACACCTCAACTGTCAGAGACGGAAGGTTCGAGGCTGGATGCAGTTGGGATGGATATAGGCTCTAGCAGCATGTGTATTCGATGTGAACGTGTGGGAAGATGGAGGGTGAAGGCACGCGATGGGTCAGGTGAGTTGTGCACGCTGCTGAGAGAAGGAGAATGCTGCGGGCTGGCAGCTCTGGTCCCTGACTGGCTCCACTGCCTCTCAGGAGTGAAGATCTCGAAGCTCGCCCAAGACGCGGCCAATGGGGCCTCTGCAGCGCTTGGGTGCGGCGACTCTTGGTGCTGCCGCTTACGCACTCATGCGGAATGGCTTGCTAAAATTATGGTGGCTAATACGACCCTCGTAGCTCCAACGGCTGCAAGCCCTGCTCAACAGGACATGGCCGTCGTTGTAGGTGCATGCAGTGAGTTGTGAATGGCGATAGGCGTATGCAAACTTGTGAACGCACCAAGATGCTCCTGTACATACATAGATGCATACCACATACTACGTACATCCCTAGGTACCACTGTTGATCACCCCCAACGGCAGCCACCGCCCATCCCATGTGCAGATGCGCACCCGCACTGCCAGTCTTCGAAACGCCCCCCGAGATTGCAAACAGACCTGCTTGGCCCTCCAATCCTCAACGGGCCTGTCCGTCATGCGCCGCCATCGAAAGCCAGCGACCCTGGCCCCTGGCAGCACCGCCCGTTTGGCAATCGGCCCTCTAGCCAGCCCACCGCTGTCAACGCGACCGCTCTTCGTCATCCCTCATGTGCAACAAACGTCTGTTTCTGAAGAAACATGATCCCACAAAAACCGCCCCAGTATTTCACTTCTCGCTTCTGCAACCCAATCTCATTCGAAGCGTTCGCTCGCGTGCTAGCCTGGCAAGATTGAGATGGACGAGAGATTACGCGTCGCACCGCAAATAATTAACTCTCCCTGCCCAGCCCGCTGCATCGGTCTTCCTTGCCGAATAGGTTCAGTGCACGCCTTTATCGATATCTCGGAATAGAATCACCAGCCTCGCAAGTGCATATTGCTCCGTTAGTCAGTCTCGGACTTTGGCCTGGACCTCGTGTCTGTGAAGGATAAGGATAGCTATCGTATCGTGGCGGGCAGATCCGCCACCAGTTTGCTGAATCCTGAATCCTCATTCTCTGCTTCCATCACTCGCATTCCGACGCCTTCTAGAAGCGTGCGTCGACATGCGTCATGTGAGTGTAGCCTGAACTCTATGTTTAACGGCCCTTGTCGCCCTGCTTTCGTGAAGTAAAGCATAAGCATGATTATTAGCACGACATCTCAAAATACCATCCGCTGCGCCCCCTTCTTCGCCTTACCCGCCAAGCGCGCGCCGAAATTGAGACAAGGCAGCGGCCGTACCGAGATGATCCCGTGATTGGGCCTCTCCTTTAACCTCACCCGCGAATCAGAGCACGCCATTGCTGGCGTAGGGCTGAGATGGTGTGAATGCAAGCTGAAGGTTATCGATAGCTCGCGTGCAAGAGAGCTGACAGTGCAAGGCTGACCTTGGTGAGCCTGGTTTCATCATCGCGGTCCGCGGATCTGACATGACTGATCTGCTGCAGTTTGGTGATCATTTCGTTGGGTTAAGGGTGAAGCACCACGTCCATGCGCTTTGGTCAAGTTTGCACATCGTCATCGAGAAGATTAACGTTCAACTGTTCGTTTGGGACGTATTCGTGATATCCTAGGACTTTTGGTAAACAAAAGTTTCATAATAGTGCATGCAAATTCTGGCTGTAGTCGGCTCACATGCCCCTATCACGACTCTACGCTCAGTGCCTTCAAACCCACAAGCCGGCCATCCTTCTCATCCACTGCAACAACATAGTACTCCGCCCTTGTCCCATCGATCTGCACCTTGAACACCTTGACATCCCCGTTCCCTGCAGCTTTCACTGCATCGATGACCTTTCTGTACTGGCTCGCGAACGCTGTGCCCTTGACCTCCTCCACATCCTTGCCGCCGCCTATTAGTTCCTTAAGATCACCTGTGAAACTGTCAGTCATGCCATCTCACACCTTACCAGACGGTGCTCATTGAGACATGTATCATACCAGCTGATATCGAGCTCCCGCTGTACTTCAGTGCCACAGGCTCGAACGGCTCGTCTGCATCACTGACGTAGTACTCCTCCACCCTTTCTCGAGTGCTTGTGGTACTGCTG